TCGTCAAAGCGAGAACCAGTCCAGGCGGTCATCCTGGCAATGCGTAACGCGCCGTAGGGGTTGGTTTGGGTTTACCAGTGCGATTGTAACGCTGGTGCGATGTACATTCGGCCTGATGGCACAGATGACCAGTTTTTACAACATGTCATGACGCGTTACCGTACGATACGGCAGGATACGATTCGTACCTTGGACGGGTACGGTAACCGCCCGCGTGGAGATAACGGAAGGCGACGGGCCGCCGCAGCCGTCGCCGCTGCACCCGACGGTGATGATGATGGTGAACCTGCCGCCGCCGCTGCCGCCGCTGCCGCCGGTACCGCCGCTGCCGCTGCCGCCGCCGCCGCCGCCGCCGCTGCCGCCGCCGCCGCCACCCTGCCGGGCTGTCCCGGAATGGGAAACCGGATTTGGAGCCGCCCTCCTACCCCCCCCCGCTGGATACCCCTCTCTGTTGGCGATGTAACGGCTGCATTGGCACTGGCAGCGATGGCGGCGCCCCGTTGGGCTCCGGATCTAGCTCCGGAGCCAGTGGCTGCAGCTTCACTGCTGCTACTGCTACTGCTACTGCTATTGCTACTGCTACTGGTGCTACTGCTGCTACTGCTGCTACTGCTGGATCTGGCATACCGTCGCCGCCGCCTTCGGAGTCTGGATGCCCGGGTGGCAAATCTAGAGGACCCACCGCGTCCCGCGGGGTGACGGCGGCGGCCCGTCTGCTGCTGCTGCTGCTGCTGCTGCCGTTGCTGCTGCTGCCGTTGCTGCTGCTGCCGACCAGCGCCACCAGCTACTGCCGCCGCCTGGCCCCCCTCCTCCATCGCCTTTCCGTCCTGACACTGCTGACGCGTCCGCCGGTTCCGCAGCTGGTACGGCAGCTGTTTCTGCTGCTGCTGTCGACGATCACAGCTACGGTGTCGATGGACCGCTAGAGCGTGCTGCTCCTGGTCTGGATCGTCCTGACGTCCTGACGCAGAAGGGGTCTGTCGGTCATGCGCGGTGCACAGCGGCGGCGGTGGTTTCGGAGGCGGGCGCGACGTGCAGCCAATCAACATCATGTACGGCTCACTGAGCAAGGCAGCTTGAGTGCCCGTACACAGCCACTGATCTGTTATCGCGGGGGAAGGGCTGATGCGGACTTGCTGAACGCGGGCTCGCCTGCTGCTACAGCCGTCGACGTCGCCATCGACGTCGACGTCGACGTCGCTGATCCTGATGTCGGTGCCGAAGCTGAAGCCGATGCCGTCAGCATCGTTGTCTGTCCCGGACTGAAGGATTGGCGCGGCGATAGACGGATTGAGAGACGGTGGCGTGGCAGCGGCCCAGGGTGTTGCGGCGGTCAGGTGTTGCGGCGGCGGCGGCTGCAGCAGCAGCGGCAGCGGCTCCGAATGCCGTACCGGTGACGAAGGTGCATATCCGAATCCATCCGTTGTTGATGGCCCCGCATCCTCGAAGACGGCTTCCAGACCTAGCTGAGAGAATTCCCAGGGATACGCAAACGACATCGATGACAACAGACCTGTTCTGCTGTTTTCTTGGAATGCGATCCGGGAGCAGATGTGGATGTGGGCCCGGGATGTGATGTTGCCCCGGATGGATGTTTTTTAATGAACTGCTGCCGCTAGGGGAGCAGGGGAGCGGACGAAGGGGATGATGTGCAACACTTGATGGCAAACCCTAAACAGAGGGAGAGCATGCGGGACATGTTGCCGGAGACATGTTTTGCCCTCGCCGCTGTTTTTGGTTGAGTAAGAGGTTGGAGGGAGGAAGGAGGAACAGAGTCCCGGTCTCAGAGTGAAGGAAGAGTCGGAGGAGCGGATGGATAATGACACGCGACTTCTTCGGTTTTATTATTAGTTTTATTGTTTTTCGCAATCGCAAGGGGAATTACTGTTGTTGGTCCGGGCTCCTCGCCTCGCTTAGGCATAATTTTTCAGCATTGATTTGCTTTTATTTTTCTGTTGCACGAAGAACATTTTTAGTATGAAGTTACCTACTGAATAGCAGTGGTCATGGCAAGTCGCGATTTCGACGTTAATCTTTGTTCTGGTACAGATTTGGCATTTTCGCGATGCTTGGTCTGTTCGACGTCAAATTCGCCAATATGATGTGCTGCAGTGACGTGTTGGCGTTTGGTGGTAGTTGGCGCGACAGTTGGTGCGTCCACGTGTCTGGCGGTTGCCAAGGATACCTCTTCCATAGCGGACCCACAGCTTCTGCACGCATTCTGCAGCAATTCCCCCTGCAGAATACCAAAACAATGAAACATGCATGAGGGATCCCATATCTCTATCATCATTTGCAATCTAAGTGATAATTTTTTTATAAATTTTATATATATTTTTATATTAGCAAGGCTAAAGCGGATCGGATTGCGTACAACGGCTGTGTACATAACTTTGCGGTATACAGTTAGAGAAGCGCACAGCCGTTCTGTGGAACTCCAGACAAAGAATAAGAAGAAAACCAACCGGAAGCAAATTTGTGCTCTTTGTGTGACGTCAGGCAGCTGGCCGTATACCTCATGTCCATGGCCCCACCACACACGCTAGATTTCACGAACGGCACCGCACTCGTACGGAACACTGGTGCCTAACCGTTGCTCGTTTCGGCAGTGCGGAGCTTCCAGAATCTTCCAAAATCTTCCAGAATCTTCCAGAATCTTCCAGGATCTTCCAGAATCTGCCAGAGCTTCAGTGGGGTCTAACCTCTTGCTCCAATGCGGAACTATATATTTGCGCTTTTTAGGCACTCTTATGTGTGGTTGGCACGGCCATCCCAAGAAGCTGAGCCATTTGCCATGTGCTGCTGCTGCTGCTGCTGCTGCTGCTGCTATTGCTACTGCTAGGAAATGGGCCCCCGGATGGCTTTCACGGGCGTCTTTCGCGCAGTTGTACGGAACTTGTAACCCCCTTGTAACACATGTGCTCTCGTGCTCTTAGGAATTGGGGGCAGCAGCTGGCCATGGAGTAAATGCTACTGCCGCTTGGGGGATTTTAATTGTGATGGAAGGAAGCAGTATGTGATGAAGCGTATGTGTCGATGGAACCAGAAGGGCTTGTCAAAGATCCTCGGGGCGATGGGGGCTGTGGAAGCACACTCCCCGGTTGCCTTACCGGCGAGTAGTGATGCTAGGCACCGGCGGGGGTATGATCACCGGGCGACATGATGATGCTGATGATGACGATGGCGATGATGATGTGGTGATCATATATGTAACTGCTTGCCATATGTAAAGGGACTTTCGCGGCAGCCATTAGTCATGTACGGCTGTACTGCACCGGAATCTGTGCATGCATTTCCTGCCGCTGATCGACGATGCAGCCCATTTTTACTACTGGTTAAGACATATTAAACCAAGCTTCCGTTTCACATGCGAGCTTGCAATGCAGCAAATAATTTGAAAGATAAAGCCCTTTGATTAGCCTTGTTAAGCAGAATTTACAGGTAGAAGCGTTTAGATAGATAATGTATTTCTCCTGCGTAGAAATCCTCGAACTTCATCGCAGCTATCTATTGGCTTAGCTCGATCAAGGCATCCCAGTTCGTTGCCTAGCTTCCTACGCCTCAGCAGGTTGCGGTAATGGTGTTGTTAGGTTTGATGCGACAATGATGATACCGTATCCTAAGACATACACCCGAGGACGATGTGCTGCAAGTGCACATCGTTCTTGACCCATGGGACGCGCCACCTAAAGCTGCCGTACCGTAAGGAAGGTCTCGAAGAGGCATGGGTTATTGCCGCAGAATCCGCTTGATGCAGGCAATACAAAGATCCTTGAAGCTAATGGATAAAGTAGCAGGCAACAGTAACACTTTGCTCCTTCTCTTCTTGACTGCACCGATTGCGTCTTCATAAAGGAAGTTGCTCTGATATCAAAACGATGTATGTGAAATGATGCTGGAATGAGGACTTGGGCTTCATGACTGCAGGTACGGTGTCAAATCTGTTATTCCGCCGAAGGGAGAATGCTTGTAATTCCTCTAGAACTGGCTTGCTTGAATTGGCTGAATTTCGCGAACATATTTAGTTGCACACCCATACTAGACCCTTCCTGCCGAAAGCTCCGTTGACGATTGGCTTGACGCACTAGTGTTTTACAACTTGGCTCAGTGACATAACCTTTCTTTTAATACTGATAGTTAGTTATCAAAGTATGTCGTCCCTTCTCACTGTGGACAATCGTATGCCTCCGTTGATGACCTGAGGCCAACTTGAAGGAGAGCGGGTACGCCTGACATGTTATTGCTGTCCTAGCATTATGGATGCCTAGGTTTGCAAGTTTGCACAGTGCTGCTAGCTCCGCAACCGCCTTCAATCCCTTGACAGGAGCGTGGCACTTACAACGTAGGGTTGCACCGAACGAGCAGGTGCGTGACAAATTAACCGAGAAACACCTACCGACTGCAATTCCTCGGTTACTGTAATAGCCCCCTCAGCCCTCACGGTTGGTTGTGTGGAGCGGTTAGGCCAATTACTGGGGCGTTTTGCGTTGGCGCTTGCTTCACTGTCCAACCATAGAAGACTCGTTGCATGATAATACTTGAACCATATTCACCTCTTGCCGCGCTTACACTTTGCTGTCCTGGCTCCGTCCATCGCAGATACCGAGAGCGTCCACGTGGCCACGTAGCTCGAGTGCTGCCATCTTATCCTCGCGATCATCGTCACCCACATTACAATCTCTATCTCCGCCATCACTACACCAGCAGCACCAGCAGCACCAGCTCAGTATTCCGCGAAAACTTCTAGGAATTGAACCCAGCAGGCATCACCCTGGAGCCTGACGCTGCCGCTTCAGGCGGCGAAACCACCAACAGCGGATTGCACGGACGGGGCGGACACCACCATAACCACCAATTCAATGGCGCGGGCAGTGGCACCAACAGCGGTGGTCTTGATACGGCAGTGCTAGGGCCCATGACGCGCCGTGGCAGTAGGACTCGGATGGGCGAGGGGACCCGGGTCCCACGGCCCATGCCTAGGGGCGGCGCCAACACGGCGCCAGGGATGAGGGGTACGGCAGCGTCGGCTGCCGTCCACAGCAGCACAGTGCTTCCCACCGCCGCCGCCCCCAGCGGAGGCATGCTACTGCCGGGCCTTGGCGCAGAGCCCGGCAGTCCCAACCGCGGCGCCGCCGCCGCCGCCGCCGCCGCGGCGTCAGGCTTGGAGATCCACGGCTCGCAAGCTGGCGGAGTGGATCCATGGGTGGCGGCGGCAGGTAGCGGCGCCGTCGAGGGTTTTGCCGTTGCCGTACCCCCGCTAGCAGCTGGTGACCATCCAGGATCTGCAAATTTGCCCCCTTACCTTTTCCATGGTAAGGAGGAAGTTCTACCAGGTAGCGGCCTGTCAGGACCCGGAGCCGGGGCGCCCTTGTCAGCGGCGGCGGCGGCGGCGACGGCGACGGCAAAGCCACCATTGGCCAATTTTTACCTCTGCGTCTCGCATCGGGCGATCAATGGCATGGCTGCCCTACAGCAGGCGTTTCCGGACGCCGTACATGAAGCCCGTCGTACAGGCGCCGGGCAGCTTGTCCGGGTAGAGTTCGAATTAGCGCGCGGCGGTCTGCCTGTGCCGTACGATCTGGTGCTAAGCTGCCAGAACGCCCAGGTCTCATTGATGCTCCCGGCGGAAGCGCGCCGCGCGCTGGGGCTGGCGTTAGATGACCTGCTCTGGCTATCGCCTCCGACACCTGGCGGTCCTGTACGGGTCGTACAGGTCGTCCGGAACGCCACGGTGGCTGGTCTGGTTGGGGAGCCGCTGCCGCCGCCGTCAGCGCCGATGATGGAATTCGAGAAGGCGGCGCCGCTGGCGGCACTGGCGGCACCGTCGCCGGCGGCGACGTCAGCAACAGAACGTGACACTCCGCGCCGCAGCAGCGGCGATGCATCCGGTGGCGGAATTGCACCGACGGACTTGATGCCGTACGGTCCGTCCACAGTAGCGGCGGATGCGGATGTGGCCGCTGTCGCTGAGCAGGCGGAGACGTACGACAGTGGCGACGGCGATGGCGGTGCCGCCACCGTCCCAGGGCCTCGCGGGAGGGGTCGCGGGATGAAGCTGGGTAAGGGGCGTGTCAGGCTGCGAGGAAGAGGGGGTGGCGGAGGGCGAGGCCGCGGAAGGGGACTCCTTGCCACGGCAAGCCCCGATTTTGGCAATGCCGGCGGCGGCGGCGGCACGGCCGTTAGCCCGGAGGGCGCCAGCGCTGATGACGCCGTTAGCCCCGATGGGAAGAGTACGAATGGCGGCGATGAATGCGGCGCTGGAGACCAGACGGGCGCCGTCAGCGGCGGTGACGGCGCCGTCGGGACCGAAGCTGTCGATGGCGATGACGTCAGAGGGAGCCGCGGTATCCGCAGAGGCCGCGGCGGCCGTTGGCGCGGGCGGGGCCGCGGTCGCGGCCGGGGCCGGGGCGCGCGCAGTGCCGTACAGCTCAATGCTGCTGACGGCGCTGGCGGCGCCGTCGACGCGGGCACCGCATGCGGTGAGGTAGGTGACGGCGATGCCCAGGGTCCGGACTTGATGGCAGCTGACGGCGTCTCACCTTCACACACAGCCGCAAGCAGCGGCGGTGGCGGTGGGCGTGGCAGCCGACCCGTGGGTCGTGGACGTCGCCGTAGCGCTGCCGCCGTTACGATAGTAGGCGTTAAGCAGGAAATCAAGCAGGAGCTCGCGGCTGACGGCGGCGTGGGAGTGACGGGCGTCGTTGGTGCCGTACGGCCGTCACGTCAGCGGCGAGTCAATAAGATGGAGGTAGTGATGCGGGAGCTGGTACGGCCGGCGGCGGTGGTGGTTCCGGAGTCTCGAAAGGTAGATAAAATGTGAAAAGGAAAAAGGGGTTTTACATTTTTATTTCTGCCCCTAAGTATTTAATTATAAAATAATTACTTGTTATGCTATTATATAAAACTCTTTTGCGCAGAATACTTTAAATGTTTCTTACTTCGCGTCATATAGCTACTGAATGCATTTGAGGACTGAAGAGGGATGTACGGCACCGTTGGAAACTGGTTAGTACTTGCATCTTGTCGTACTGAAAGGTCATTGCGCGGGAGGGTGAGTGAGTGGCCTTTCAACGAAGTTTAAATATGCGTGCATAAAGCTCACAGCAGCAAAACACATGCACACGGAGACACAGACACACACGCGTACACGTACACATACAGACAAACAGAACCCACTTCACTAAGCTCGTGTGGGTGGTGTTAATATGTTGAAAGCATATCGATCACATTTTTGAATCACCGCCCGCCTGCTGCTGAATCTCGCAGGGCCGCCTGGAGTTTGAAATGCTGCCGCCGTACAGCAATTGCGACCTGGTTCCGGAGCATAAGGCCCGCTTCCAACAGATCCTTCATCTCCTTCGCGACACCTTCCCCAAGAACGCCCAACAGGTGAACGAACACAACAGCAACAACAACAATAACGCGACCCGGGCCTTAGGGATGTACATACATACATACCCGGCCTGGCCCGGGGGCGGAGTGCATGAGACTAACCAGCCGTATGCACCCGCCCCCCGCGCTGTGTTTCGGCCCTGGGCCCCCGGCTTTTCAGCCCACAGTGTAATTAACGTCATACATACAGACATATATATACAGACATACATATATACATACATATACATACATATACATACATACATACATACATACATACATACATACATACATACATACATACATACATACATACATACATACATACATACATACATACATACATACATACATACATACATACATACATACATACATGGAGGGGGGAGTAAATGAGGGAGGGAGGCATGGGTGAGAGGGAGGGAAGGGGGAGGGTATTTAAAAGTCAAGGAAGAGCTGCCGAAGGAGGGAGGGAGGAGGGCATATACACACACACACTCGCACTCTCTCTCTCTCTCTCACACACACACACACACACACTCATACTCACACTCACACACACAGAGAGAGAGGTCGTAAAACCCCACGGGGGAGAGGGGCCCCCTGACCTGACCTGCCAACTGTCCCCGGCTCCTTGCGCCGCCCCCCCCCGCCCTCCCCCCCCTTCCCGCTCTCCCGGCCGCCGGGACGTTCGGTGCTTCTGAGGGGCCCAAAAGTAATCTCCCCCTCCCTGGCGCCCCCCCCCGCCCCTGCCGCCCGCTTGGCGCCCTTCGCCAAACGCACAATCATATCAAATACACAAATCGAACAAAACACAAATAAAATAAAATAACCCCCCAGATCAAGCAAAGCGTGCGGAGGGAC